TTGGGACCTCTATTCTAGAATTGTTGAAAAAATAGATCCTGGAGAAAGAACAAAAAAAAAAAAGCTTGCTTTAAAGAACTCGTGTATGGCAATACGTACTATTTTTTTTTTCTTTTTAAACCAAATCATGGTGACCTATAGGGAGACTGATTTATACTGTCATCATATACTGGCTCAAGAACTGCTGCAGAAAAGAATTATTAAAGTTGGAGACAAAAAAGCTGGCATTACAACTAGCTTAACAACAAATTACTCAACTGTAAGCACAGAAGATCACTGTGAAGATAGTAAGTTCTGGACATCACAAAATTAAATTGGGATGTATGTTCCAAAAAGTGTCCAATTATTTTGGAGAGATAGTAGGCCCGTCATCTTTTTTTTTTTTTTAAAGAAGGTGCTAATAGCTGCTTTTTTGTTCCAAAATAATTGGTAGAACTGGAGTTGTGTGGTCATTTTGTGTCTCTTCCCAAGATGATAGTTGTGCCTTAAGATTTGTGCTATCCTTGTGGAAACGAGTGGAAGAAGAAGGAAGCAAGAAATAGCTGCCCACTCATATCTGAGCTGTATCTCTGCAAAGTGACAGGTTAAAGGATTGCCAAACTTAGAAAATTAGTTTATTGAATTACCACCCCACTGAATTATGTGCAAGGCAGTTGCCAAGACAACTTCTTCAGTTACATGGCCAAAAATAAATAAGACAAACTTTCTCTTGAAGCATATTTCTTGCATTTATAAACTGAAATGAATTCAGTTATTAGAACTCTTAACATCCAACTCTTGGAAAACCAGTTTTTCAAAATCTTGTGTTGTGACCCGCCAGCATCCAGAGGAGCTGGAAGCAGATTCGGACAGTGAGGAGGTAGGAGAGGAACATGGGCCAGTCCTGGAGTCTGGGGAAGCCTCTGATGAGGGCTCTGTGTCGGAGGCAGAGAGGGGGCCAGAGCCATATGCCAGTTATCAGCTGCTGTCGGAGTCAGACATCAATGAGGCAGAAAAATATCTGTAGCCTGTTCCCAGTGTGCACATGCGCAGAGTTGCCAGACGAAGGGAACAGCTAAAGAACAGGGGTAAACATGGGAGTAAGGCCACAGGTGGATGGTGAATGGCCCGTCCCATAGAGAATGAAAGAAGAGCGAAAGGGGAGTGGAGTTTGCAGGAGACAATTAGTTTGCTTAATTAGCGTGAAGATTTGTTGACTCTTAGAGACTCCTTGCCAAGTAGTTTCTTGCACAGCGTTGTATTTGGAGGAGAACAACAAACTATGGGGTTATGGGTGCTCTCTGAGCTTGCTTATTTTCCTGGAGACATTTCATTACTCAAACTAAGTAACATCCACAGTGCTGGTGAAGTTACCTAATTTGGGTAATGAAATGCCTGCAAGAAAACCGGCAAGCTCAGAGAGCATCAAGGAGCCCTCTCTTTAACTTGTACGTATTTTCATCTCGTAATTTACATTTTAAATGTTATGTCCTATAGTTCTGCCTTCTTTTGTGATGCTTCTGACGTGGTTTTGAACAAACAATGTTTTGTCAATCAACAGGATTTAGCTGCTCCGTTTCTCAATGCTCACTCCCAAAACTTAAAAAAAACAACATGCTTTCAAGGTGAGTTTGACTTTTGGTGACGGCATACATGAAACTTTCTTGGGAGTGTCAAGAGGGAGTGTCATTGTGCTGCTGCTTTCTTCCAAGATATTGGGCGGGGGGAGGAGTGTTTCCTCCCTAATTTCCCAATCAAGCCCACAGTCCTATGTTTCCCTAGCAGTGCCCCAATGAATAACTGAAAGTAGAGGATTACCTTTATGCTGATCAAAAATATGGCAAATTACCAAACTACATCCAGCAGTAATTGTGAACGCGCCATTGTTTATTCGGCTGATGGTTCTATTGTTGTTACGTCCTGCATTTCTTATTCCTGTGGATTTTATCTAGGTTATAGAACTATTCTGCATTATTGTTTATTTTCCCATTACAGTTTTATGTTATATTTTACACCGTCCATTGAAGTATGTAGGGCAGGAGGAATGAAATTACTGGGAAGTTTAAAAGGATAATAAATAATGAAGAAAGCAGTAAAAAAAAAAAAGAATATACTACTGAGTTTTCTTATTTCTGGCATAATATTCTCCCACAGCATCTGGGAAGGGAAGCTGGAGATGAACCACCAAGGCTCATTGCCTAACACAGGGGTGAGCCAACTGCGGCTCCAGAGCCACATGTGGCTCTTTCATCCCTGTGCTTCTGCTCCCTGTCATCAGTCGCCACCACAATTTTGAGAGGAGTTTCTGGTTGGGGGGGAGGAGAAGCAGGACACACCAGAAGGAGACTTTCGGTTACGACATGTAGAGGAAAAAGGACACACACACACACACACACTCATTTTCATAACATATAACCACATGTATACTATTATATAACCAACATCATATTATATTATTAAATGTTTACAACAATTTGTCTTACCATCTCCCAAAAACAATTATTGGCTCTTTTGCTCTCCATACACCATATTTGTACCTTATCCATCACTTTCTTCTCCCTCTCTTCTCCCACCTCCCTACCTCCTTTCTTCCCTCTGTCATACTTCTCTTCTCTACTTCCCTTTCCTCTCTCCTTCTCCTTTCTTCTATGGTGGAGAAACCAGATTTCTGGTCAGCTCAAGAACTGAATGAGGAGCTTCCGGTTAGAATCTTTGTGGCTCTTTGAGTGTTTTAAAGTTGCCGACCCCTGACCTAACACAAAGAATGGACAGACGCCAAACTCAAGTGTTCATTTATTTATTAAGAAAATTTATATGGCCGCCCAACTAGCTCATGGTAACTTTATCTCATAAAGATAAAACCCAACATAAAAGCTAATAAGCTTGCATCACCCAGGTGATGACAGTCAAACTGACCATATGATGGGGGCTCTGTATCACCCAGGAGGCCCCAGGCCATGTTGGCAAAACCATGTCTTCAGGGCCTTTCGAAAGTATCAAAGTGGGGACCAATCTTATTTCCGCAGGAATGATGTTCCAAAGGGATGGGGCCACCAAAGAGACAGTCCTTCTTCTTAATTCCACTAGATGGGCCTCCTTAAGAAAGAAACTCTTTAACATACCCTGCCTTCCTGTTCTGATTTAATTCTGTTGGGAGAAATATCCATCTGGTTCAGTTCCAAACCAGGAAGAATACACTGGAAACATGGAGGCTGATTGGAAAGATGGTATAATGCTGAAGCAGAAACACATGGAGTTGAGAGTGGGGGATATTTATACCTCCTCTTGGGCTTTGCAATTGAGCTTCCTATTCCTGTGCAAGAACATGTATTCTATTGGCTGTTGTCAGACTCCCATGGGACTATGTACAAATCCTAGGAGTTTGTCTGAGCTACATTTGGTTGAGGTTTGGGCTAATGCAATGAAGGAGCTTGTTGGGCAATTCCTATTGTGACTGAGGGCTATCCTTACCTTTGCTCAGACCTTGTTGCAGGGATTTTTTGCCTATGAATAGAGCCATCATCATATGGTCAGTTTGGCTGTCATCACCTGGGTGATGCAAGCTTATTAGCTTTTATATTGGGTTTTATCT